ACTGTGTTTAGGTTTATTTAAGTTTTTCGGGTTTATTCGATATAAGAGTCTATTCATATGTTTCTGGGGCGCAGATTTTGAAAATGACCTCCATTTTAAGATTTGCTACTGTATTTAGGTTTATATAAGTTTTTCGGATTCATTCGATATTAGGGTCTAGTCTTATGTTATCGTCGTGTGCCTCGTTTTTGAAAATGACCTCCAATTTAAAATTATGCCACTGCGTTACGACTTATTTCAGTTTTCTGATTTATTCGATATAAGGGTCTATTGATATGTTTCCGGATTTTTGAAAATGACGGATGGTTTGTTTTTTGGTCTTATTTGATATAAGGCTTAACTTATATGTTATTGGAGACGTAGTTTTTGAAAATAATCTCTATTTTAAGATTAAGCCATTGCTTCTTGAATAATTAATTTGTATTTTTTGTCTTTTTTTAAATACAAAATTTCATCAATTCAGTTTCGTGTTTTGAGAATGAAAAACTAAATATTATGAAGCTAAGGTTGAATTAACCACAAAATACATAAATAAAAAGGTGAAACAGCAACTTGTAATAAATTGAACGTACCATTTACAGATTTTTCAGCTAATTGATCAATATTCGTATCTTATCATTTTGTAAGAGGATACAGAAATGTTGAAAAAAGAAAGCTAAAATTAAATTTAAAAATGAGAACATAAATTTTTTTTGGCTGAAAAATAAATTAATTCTTCGTATTTTTTAAATTCAAAGGAAAAATTAAAGAAACTTAAATAAACCAAACAGTGGCGTAATCTTAAAATGGAGGTAATTTTCAAAAACTACGTCTCCGATAACACATAAGTAAACTCTAACATCGATTAAATTAAAAAAAAAAGTAAACTATTCAAAACAAAATGGCGTGTTCTTAAAATGAAGGTCATTTTCAAAATCTATGGCTCCGGAAACATATCAATACATCCTTATATCGAATAGATCCAAAAAACTCAAAAAATAAGTCGAAACACAGTGGTGTAATCTTAAAATGGAGATTATTTAAAAAAACTAGGCACATAATAATAGACGCTTATATCGAATAAATCCGAATATGTACAATAAATTGATATTCGTAAGTGTAACATAAAGTTGATAGTATTTTGATAAACTCTACTAAAAGGGAGCATAATAATAGACCCTCATATTGGAAAATAAAAAAAAAAGTGGCCCTTATTTAGAGAAAAATAAAAAATTCGAAACTTTAATTTGAAGTGGAAAAGGTTGAATTTGAATTGGAAAAGGTTTAATTTAAAATGGAAAAGGTTGAATTTGACTTAGAAAAGGTTGAATTTGTCTAGGAAAAATTGAATTTGTCTAGGAAAAAATTGACTATGACATGGAAATATTATCCCGAAAAAATCTGAAAAGTAAAAATAAATGTATAAGCGACCGCATTATATTTTTTTTTTTGTATTTTTCAAAAGCTATGCCTTCAATAATATAATAAGTGGCCTTTATTTAGAGAAAAAAATCGAAAATTTACAAAAATTCGAAAGTTGAATTTGATTTGGAAAAAGTTGAAATTGACTTGAAATGCTATATATTATATTAAAACTTGACAGTTCAAATCAGGAAATCACTCATATAATATTAAGAACGGATAAAGACATAATATATATCATATATACAAATGCTTACCACCTACTCTGGCTAATCATATTATGATATACAATCACAAAAGTTTGGGAAAACCCCCAAGCATTGTGAGGAATCGCAAGAGCGAGTAGTCCAGGAGAATCCACTTTGCTTCTAAATGTGACCAGATAGTGGGGAAGTACTTCCTCAGGGTAGATCTTTTCACACTTGTCATTCACCACAGGTTGCATTCTTCTGTTGTTTGGCCGAATTATCTTTTTTCATTAGCTGGAGTTCCCGTTAATTCTTACTCTGAGATTTTCTGGCAGACATACCTAACCTAGCCTTCTTTCTTATACATATATTTTGACATATTTTTTCACAGGAGGAAGTTGAGAGGCACCCCTCCCGCTAATATCTGCACCGCCTAATGAGACATACGCCAATTCAATACGTTCTAGTGAATTATAGCAGAACCATCCACTAAATCGTCACCAACCTCCTTTTCTGCCAGAGTGTGAGGTTCTTGTTTCAGGCAGAGGACCCATACCTCAGAATATCCAAGACCATTCCCCTTTATATGGTCATAGTGGCAGGGGAACTGAGGCTAAAAAACGCCCCTGTCATTCAAGGCCAGGGTCACCTTATTTCCCAGGAAGTCCAAGTGGAGGGTCTTGTTAAATCTTCTTCTGAATCATATGCCAACATAAGAAATTATCACCTCACTTGGACACATTCTTGTAACTTGAATGTTTAGGTTTATAGGAACAGCCCTGCCATGGTACCTCTTGGTAGGATAGCCAAGGTTTTTTCAGCAGCCACGTTTAACCTCTTTTTTCCACATAATTTCCCTATCATGTTTGTTCACATTTCTACTTCTTGCTTCAAAGCAGCTTCCTGAAAGATGGTATCAGAGAGCTGGCTTTGGAGTGATCTGGTGAAGTCCATAAGATGTCCAAGTTCATCTTGGTGTCTGTGTTGGATCTGCCAACTCCTGCTATGTTCAGACATCAATAACAATTTATCAAAAAGGAATACTCAATTTTTGGATTTATGGCAGGTTTTAAGACATAAATGTCTGCCCCACTGTACAAGGGTTGGTACTAGAGGCAGTGCGCCGTTATGGCCAGTACCATATGAAACTCTGTTTAATTTTTTCATTGTATTGGTGTAAGGGGTGGTGTGTCGGTCGGTTCTAGGGTCAGTACATTGTTGTGGATGAACTCTTAAACATTCTAATCAGAATATAATGATGATTACAATAAATAAGCAGTCATTGTTCCGATACACAAAAGGGGTGATAAAGTAGAGTGTCAAAATTACAGGGTAATAACACTACTCTGTATTAATTATAAAGTGTTATCTGTCCTGTTATTGAAAATGTTAATGATAACATCAGAAGAAGTTATAGGTGAGTACCAAAGTAGGTTCCGCCCTGGGAGATCTACTATTGACAGAATATTCACAATCAGGAACATGTTAGAGAACAGCAATAAGTGTAACATTAATTTACACCATCTGTTTAAAGAATACAAGCAGCTATATGAGAATTAAGAAAGAAATGAGATTTATGAAAACTTAAGGATCTTAGGTTGTTCTATAAAACTTATTAGGCTGGTAAGGATGACCCCCCAAAACAGTAGAAATTTAGTACAAGTCTAGGGAAAAGTTTCCAGAGACTTTGTCTTTCAAAAAGACATGCTTGAGAGGATTATGAGGGCAGCTAAAATAAAGGATGAAGGATGTATAAATAAAAATATGACTCAATGCCTAGCATATGCCAATGATGTAGTCATAACAGAAAAGAATCAAGATTAGTTTTTAAAGACATTTACGGAATGTGAAGAGGTAGGACTCATAATGAACAAAAGCGAAATGAAATATATGATATCCAGGAAAGGCGCAAAAAGTGAATGTTTGTTGAAAGGATGTAGTTTTGAAAGTGTGGATAAATTCAATTATCTTGGTACAATTTTAACCAACGATAACAGATTGATAACATGAAAAGGCAATGAAAATGATTGTTATTGGTCACTCCAAAAGGTATTCCAAAATATAGAGATACACTGAAACCTCAAAATAAGAGTATATAAATGATAATTCGTTCTTTTGCCTGTATGGTAGTAAGGCATGGACCCTAACCAGGCAGCAAGAGACGTTGCTGATTACATGGGAGAGAAAAATTCAGAGAAGAATATATGGCCCTTAAGTATTACCACATAAAAACCAATGCAGAACTGAAGGACCTATATGGGGAACCTGATATTGTTTCTTGCATTAAAAAGAGAATAATAAGATGGCTGGGCCAAGTTTATTGGATGGATCAAAAAAGGCTCCCAAAAAAATAAATAAATAAGGACACCCAGATAGAGAAAGAGAAAGAGGCAGGCCTAGACTATGATGGACGAAAGATGTAGAGGAAGACCTGAGGTCACTGGGTGTGAGACATTGGAGAGAAGTGACAGAGGATCGGTCTGAGTAGAAGGTAATTTTTGAGGAGGCCAAGAGCCTTAGCGCCAAAGGAAGAAGAAGAAGAAAACCATTTAAAAAGAACTAGCTAAAACAAACTAAATTTTGTTTTTAAAAAAATCATGAATTATTTGTGACTTTTTTTTATCACCTTCCAACTACACTCCAGGTATCCCACTTATAGAAAAACTTCCTTGTTTCATAAACTTGAAGTCCATAACTATTAAGTTGAGGTTTATTACAAAATAAGACCTTTTACTTAAAAAAAAAAAATAATGTTTATTAAATATTTACGATTTAAAGTGACATAAAACTCTTTTACATAGATCTCTATATTTATATTTATCCATTTTTTTTTTTTTTTTTTTTTTTTTAGAAACATATTTAAAACAATGTGTAATTACTTTAAATTGGTATTTATGTAATTTATGCCTTGTGGCAAGAGGATGGATCAGATATTTCTAAAATAAAATATTCATTCCTCGTAAATGTTGCTTATTCAGAAAAGAAGCTCTATGTTATGGAGGTAGGATTTTCTTCCTTAAATTTCCAAATGTAGTTTTCATTATCAATTGAACATTAATACCAATTTAAGGTAAAAACTCATTATAATAAATTAAGATTTATAAACAAAAAATAAACTTGTCAATTACAATTTAAAAAAATCACAACAGTAACATTAAATCTCTAAAGTACATTAAAATAGAAGAGGCATCACTTATGATAGACAGTTACATATGACTTGAAAATGGTTAAATTTGACTTTGAAAAGGTTAAATCTATCTGACCTGTGAAAACTTACACGTAACTTTGTAATCCTATGGTGTGGAAATGAAATTTTGCCTACTGGGAGAAGTTTCTGAGAACTTAAACCCAATAAATGTTAAAAGACTACTGTGTTAACTTATATTTTAATCTTAGTACAAATTAGTTTACCTTTTTGTTAATTATTTTCATATTTTGAGAACTGTCTTCAGCTACAGAAATTTCTGGTGATTTAGGAACAATTTCATTAGAAGAATCTTGGGATTGACTGGGAGATGGAGAGTTTTTACCATTCCTTTTCTTATTTTTACGCCATGCCTGTAAAATTATAACCACAATAAAATATTTGATATTAAAAATAAATTTAAAGTGTAAGGCTCTTGCACAATTGGCAGCAATTTATGATCTCTTCCTATGGATCGCTGCAATAGATAGCATTCTGAGTGACTGATAGTGCAACAAACAACATGTGAGGCGTGAGGAGAGAAAACATGTTGTTTTTTGGTGTATGAACCTTTAAAAGATAACTAATTGAAACAAGTGATTGAGAAAACTATATAATAAAAATGAAAAAATGGTTACTTGAAATCAATCCACAGCAGATAAAACAACAATTATTTGTCTGATACAGTTTGAACTATGGAATAGAAGTTGACAGTCCAGATGGCCGCACTCCTTAAACTACTCTTTCATCTTTAATTATGTCATGGATAATAATAAGGTCTAACTACATATGTGCTTTGAACCTCCTAAGAATTACAATATCCAATATACAAACTCATACCTAACACAATCCTCCTGTCTACTTCTTGGTCTACTCTTCGATTGCAGATTTTGATTGCAATGGGGTCATTCAGAACTAAATCAACCAATAAAACACTTAAAATTGAGATTTTTCAAAATGAGTAAAACTTCCTATTTTTTAAATAATTCTTTTTTCCTGAAATGAGTCCCTTCAGAACATTACAGAACACAATTGTGGGCTTTAGAGACTCAGAGTAAAAGAAAAAAACAAAACTATAGAATTAACAAATAAAAATAATTAAATAATAATAATTTATGATATATCAAATTATCATTGTATTTGAAATAATAAAGGAGGGAATGGCTATTATCATGGGTGGTCTCTGGCTCCCATAAGAGAATTAGTTTTTACTCAAAATTAATAATGCACCAAGCATTATTATCGGTCAAAATTTGTGTATAAGGCGATGTGTAGATGGTCTATTAATTCTTTTATATAGCAATGAGTAGAATATTCCATGTGAAACTATAGAAACCTTAAAGAAAATGGGGAAAAAGGCCGATATATCGGTATCGGCCAAAATTTTGATATCGGTCGGTCTCTAATATATATAGTATTTAACACCAGACAATGAAAAAGAAATTGATGACCTCCATCTAAGTGATATTTTATTATAAAAATGTTATTATTAGTTTTTATGAAATATAAAAAAACGTAAGTTTTAAACAAAAAATGGTTTACAAATCATTCAATGGCTTTTTTGAACAATAACAGATTAGTCTGGATGAGAAGGAAATATTTGATTGTCAATAACATGGCTTCTACACTTTTATCCTGCTAGATTCGCAATAGGCACCACTGTGGGTCAGCATCAGGTGGGTATAACATGATTTTTCTCACCATAGTATCCTCTTTACTATTCTGGGACAGATCCTCCCAGAGGTTTATGTAGTCAATAAAAATTCTTGCAGTTTCCTCCAGGGTAGCTGCATGAACTCCTACTCTAATAGCAACTATTGTCTGCTGCTGTCTAACATTCCCTAGTGCCACCTTGTAAGGAATATCTCAGAGATTCTTTTCCAACTTCTTGACAATGAACTCAATTTTTTCTTCAGGTGATATTTAGTCCGTGGCCTGGTGATTAGAGCCTCTGTCAGACAGTGGGGTCTAGTCTGCTATATATCTCACCATGTTATGTGTCATGTCACGATTTATCTCTGGCTCCTAATTCCTACAAAAGTGGGGCCAGAGAGCTTGCTAACCACCAAGAACAGGCACCTTGCCATGCTCTTCTTCAGGATTCAACTTCTGGCATCTGTGCATACCCAACCCCAGACCATGCTCCATTAATTGGTATCGGAAAAGGCAATCAAGTTGTTATACTTTAACATGATAGCCCCCATGACAGCTATATAATCACCTATGTTTGCCAAATCACCAGTCACAGCAGAATGTAAGAGAAGAAAAAATCAAATGAGACACCCTGCATCGCCATAATGTTTACTTCTCGGGAGAGAGTTCTTAATTTGCCACGGCCACTTGTCTTCAGCTCATATTGACCTGCAGGATCTTAACGCCTATAACTGACGGCCTTGTCAGCCAATCTTTAGTCCGAGGCAGCAGGATAAAACTTCAGTTTATACTGTCAAGAGCAGAGCCTTAAGAGTCTTCTATTGTAAGTCAAGCTCAGTGAACAGCTCCGCCAGATTTTATTTTTCCTCGATTCGTTAAGTAAGTATCAAATTGAGAGGAATCGATAGGACACTCGGAAGGGGACTTGATTTTGAGGACGTTACTGGAAATTTGACTTAGCAAAACTGCTCTGGTTGAGAGAAAAAGCTGTATTTTGAAGTAAGGTGCCCCAACTAAACTAACCAATAAGTGTGAAGAATTAATTTTTTAAATTTTAATAATTAGGTTAAGAAAGTAAATAGGTTAAGAAGTTATTATTTTACATTAAGAGGATTTTAATATAATTTAATAATTGATATATAGAACTTAAGACTATAATTTATGTAATCTTTTTCCTATTTCATGATGTTTATTTATTTTATATATATTTTTTTATATTCTTGTTTTTTCTACAATTTTTTTTTTATTATTTGAAATTTTTCAGTTTTTATTTTAAAAATGACATTGCGCCCAATTTGTTTTTTTTTTCTTTTTCTCAATATACTACTTTTCTTTAAATACTTTTACTTCTTCATGACCCACCCCCTTCTCCACTGAGTTGGAGACAAATTTAAGGGTTACTGGTGATAGAGGAAACAAAGCCCTTCTTATTTCTTTATCATTTATAGCATAAGACCAGCCTTATCTCTTTTTTCATTTATTTTACATGTACCAACCCACTAATGATAAATGTCCAATCAGTGATATCAGCTTAATAAAAATAAATGTTGCTAACAAAGATAAATTTTCTCACCTTTGTAATTTTCCTCACAATGACATAACAACTCATTTTATCATTATAGAAAAGGGCTTCTAGTCATGTGGCATAAATCAGGCCACCCAGTACTGTACATTTTGGTGACCTGGGTGAGAAAATATTTACCAAATGTTTCACCCATCAAGTTTAAAATTTGTTAATTTATTACATAATAATAATAATTTTCAATTAAAATATCTATTTAATTAAAGTATCTAAATAATTTTTATAAATTATCACAATTTTTAATATTGGCATTATTAGTATGCCTGGTAAGCATGTCATTAAAGAGCTTAAAGAGGCATTGGGGCAGGTCTTTTGTTTTCCAGTAGACACATAATTCCATTTCAGTTATTTCCAGCACCAATTAAGCTCTTTAAATATAACTTTGCTTTATTCCATTCACATTTCTGAGCTTTGTTTTGATATATTTAAAATACAACTCAACATTTAAATATTTTTAAGATGAGATGGTAAGATACCACTTACCAATATACCTCTATCCGTTCAGCACATTTTATCTATACATATTTTTTAACTTAGCTAAAATTCATGAAGGGGCAGCTACAGTTAGTGAGCTAGTGAACAATGAAGGGTTTTCAAGAAAACAAGAAATAAGGCGAGGCTTATTCTTTAGATTACCATGCCACTAGTAGTTGGTTGGAAACTGCTTTTTTAAGTACTGCTTCACTGTTTTCTACATGGAGTAATGCCACTTATTAATGCAATTGTTGTAGCCATTGGGCCCCTACCTCTTCAACAAACACAATGGACCAAATGACCTAAACTTATGACATAAAATAATATAACAAATTACTACTTAAATAATCTTTTAATAGTCTATTCAATTATATAAAACCTTTGTTGTCAGTAACAGGTAGGGTGGATATATAAATTGACGTTGAGGCAAGAGGTTCAAAAAAACAGTCCAACCTTTTCAACAACTGGCAAAATTTGGCCCATTGTGTTGGTGACTAGAAGCCCTTTTCTGTAATGATAAAATGAATTATGTCATTGTGAGGAATGAAGTTGTTCATATTCGTGAGGAAAATTATAAATGTGAGATAATTTATCTTTGTTAGCAACATTTATTTTTATTAAGCTAATATTATTGAATGGACATTTATCATCAGTGGGTTAGTACATGTAAAATAAATGAAAAAAGGGATGAGGCTGGTCTTATGATATAAATGATAAATAAATAAGAAAGGCTTTGTTAATATACAACTAATAGGTATTCGGGAATGACAAGAGTACTTTGAAAAATTATTAAAGGAAGATAGGAAGAAGTTCACAAAGAAAATTGAACACCAACACAAAGATGCAACCTGGTAAATATCCACCAAAGGTGTCAAAGAAGCCTTAACAGGTGAGAGGAATGGAAAAGCTCTAGAGCCCGGTGAAATGCCTCTGGAACTCTTGAAATATGGTGGTGAACAATTTTTTTTATCAAACAGTAAATAGTACAATCTGCAACATTGAAGGGCACCAAGTGACAAGGTTAAATGTGTTCATTCATACCATATATTCATATAATAGGGAAATAAAAAATAAATAAATAAATAAAAATAAGTGAGTAAGCTAAGAAAAAGTAAATATAAAAATAGAATAACATACATAAAATAATACATAAGAAAAGAAAAAAAAAACTTCTTAATACATTTATTCTTATGTACAATATTTACATTCGCCCAGGGAACTTCGAGCCAAGCTTTGTACTCCAAAAATAGGACACTAGAGATCCCAGCATCTCTCATCCAGCCATGTCACTGGTAAGCCAGTGGAGACTGAAGGAGGGAACTAGAGACACAGATGCTGAGGCTTAAGTGGAGAAGCTGGCCATTGCCAGGACTCCCGAAGCATATTTACAAGAGATCTCGGGGCCACTGCCATTTTAACTTTTGAGGAGGATTGTAGGGATGGTGGGAGCTGGATTGAGGGATTGAGCTAGAGGATTTGGATGACTTCAAGGACAAATAGGATGTTAAGGTCATGATGTAAGGTCTTGTTTGTGACATAATATGAGACATTGACTATTGTTCTAAGTACTTTCGACTGGAAGGATTTGATGCGTTTGATATTCGAATGTTTAGAAGTTCCCCACAGTTCAAGTCCGTAGGTCCATATAGGTTTCAGTATGGTCTT